CCATCATCACACCTGGTTATAAATCTACAGACAACCTCGCGGAGGGAGGAGTGGCTGGATTTAGTGTGAACAGTGGGCCATGTCTTTGTGTTTTATGTTCTCTGTAACTCCTGTTAGCAGCAGCACAGCCCAGGAGTTACTCACGTCTTGTGTTTTCTGTAATGCGTGTTTTGAGGCACCTGTTTTGTTTCGTTGCTTTTGTGTTGTTATTGTGTTTAAGTTTGGCCGAGCAGTTTAGTTGTTTAGCTTTTGTTTGTATAGTGTCACAACTCTGTTGGTCTTTGTTGGTTTTATTTATTTAGTTTTTTTGATTTAACAACATCCACTAGCCCTGTTTTCTTTGTATTGTCGCCTTTGCTTTGTTCATTTCGTCACTCAGCAGTAACACCTGGTTTGTTGCTGCACCCTGCCGACCCTACAGTCCTGGGTCCTAACCACGACACCAGTTTTTTTACTTTTATTTGCAGGTTTTCCTCCTGAATCCGGCTGCAGCATTTGTGCTGTTTTAAGCTTGTATTACATTTTGAAACTCCTCATATTGGTTTATAGTTTGTTCTTGTGAGAAATACATTCAGTCGTACACACTTCTGTAATTAATTTCTAGTTAATTATTTACTTGCTCACAAGAGCTTCTCCCAAACAGCTGAGAACTGTCTGACAGAAAACACTCAAGCTACACGTTAATTCAATAGAGTCTACAGCTGTGATAATAATGAGATCTACGTGTGCTCTGTTAATTTGGTGGTGATAGTGATAACTCTGCATTATGTGTTCAAAACCTTTGTATTTTTCTTATATCATAGTTTGTTCTTCATTAGTGAAATACGTCCGTTCGGTGCCGGTAGACTCGTCCATGTCTGCTCATCTGTTTGCCTCCTCTGTGTGAGCGCAGTCCGGCCCGACTTAATTCCTAATCTACCAAAACAGAAGTCGGTCTGAGTTACCTTGAAGCCAGCTTTAGCGCCCGACTGCAGGTCAGACTCGATGTTTCCCGGGTCCAGGTAGGCGATGCTCATCAGAAAGCCCGGCCCGGTGAAGGCCCAGAGCTTCCGGAGATTAATCCCCTTCTAGAGGAGGGAGACACACCAGCTGAAGCACTGACGGCACTAAATCTGGGTTTACAGGTGACATTTGCATAATTTTTAAGACAGGTTTAGTGTTTAGGTTACCTCACTGTGCTCCTCTGGAACAGGGACCCTCTGATCGAAGTACGTGCTGGGCAGAGGTGCATTATTGTGCTGGAGGAAAACCGACGGAGCTGAGAGGCCTCTGTGGGTGTGGGTGGTCTGGACCACTGGTTTCTCATCCAACATGTCCTCGGCTGAAACATCCAGAGAGTGTCGGAATATAAGTAGGTCGCTACGAAAATCAGTCAGCTGGTCATTTGGTTAATAGGAAGTTAGGGAGGTCTTCAATTGGTTAGATAGTTGGTAGGTAGGTAGGTAGGTAGGTAGTTAGGTAGGTAGGTAGGGCTGTTGTTTGATTGTTTGGTAGGTATTAAGGTAGGTAGGTAGGTAGGTAGGTAGGTAGGTAGGAAGGGTGATTGTTTGGTTGACTGGTAGGTAGGTAAGACGATCGGTTGTTTGGTAGGTAGGATGATCAGTTAGTTGGTATGTCAGTCATTTGGTTAATAGGAAGCTAGGGAGGTCGTCACTTGGTTAGTTAGTTGGTACGTAGGTAGGGCTATTGTTTGGTTGATTGGTAGGTTGGTAGGTAGGTAGGACAGATCACAGGTGAGAGATGGGAGCTCACCAGAGGAAACGTTTCTATTTTAGTCAAAAAGGCTGGAAACCAGAGTCAAGTTTGTGAAATGGAAAGTCAGGGAATCATCACAAACATTAAAGTTCATCTTCTCCCCACTATGAACGTCTGAACAACGATAAATGACGACTCAGCACAAAGTTCTTGAGATATTTTAGTGTGGAGTCAAGTTGCTTAATAGAAACCAAACACCAGAAGTTCCTTGACAGCAGACGGATGAACAGTTTTGGATGAACAGAGATAAATTTATACAATAATGCTATAACACTGTGGTTTAAGGAGCTCTGAGGACTGAGATGTTTCACTCCTCCACGCTGTGAGGATCAGTGAGGATCAGTGTTCTGCTGTAAGTGGCTGTGATGCTTCTTGTAGCAGAACAAGTCTGTCTGAAAGTTTCATGTGCTTCATAAAACTGTGATGAGTCCCAACAAACAAACAAACAGAACAACTGTGTACAAAACAGACGTCCTGACCTCGTTCTCCACCCGGTTCTGGTTCCTGGTCAGTGGGAATACTGGGAGGCAGGGAGGAGATGTGGATGTTCTCAGGAGGGGGGGTTCTGTCTGGAAGCAAACGGGTCATTATAGCGGGATTAGAGACACTTAGAGGATCGACAAATACACAAAGCTAAACCCTTCACACAGGAAGCCATGAGAAACACGTACGTCGCTTATCTGCTCATTTACTGGATTAACGCTGCTGAGAGGAACCAGACCAACCAGCCGAGTGTCAGCAAGACACGACAGACATGAAAGGACATAAATGAAACTTTATTCAGAGAAACGTCAAACAGTTTGGTGTGAGGAGAGTTGTATTTTCCATTTATGATGGTAGAATATTGAAAAAAAATGTTTATTTTAAAGTGCAGGTCAGATATTACGTTTGTTTTTTCGCTTGTTACTAACATCCATCCATCCTCTATACAACTTCATCCTCACTAGGGTCATGGGGGGCTGGAGTCTATCCCAGCTGACTCAGGGTGAAGGCAGGTTCACCTGGACAGGTAACCAGTCTATCACAGGGCTACACTTAGAGACAGACAACCAAGCACACTCACATTCACACCTACGGACAATTTACAATCACCAATTAACCTCAGCATGTTTCTGGACTGTGGGAGGAAGCCGGAGAATCCGGAGAGAACCCACGCTGCACGGGGAGAACATGGAGACTCCACGTAGAAAGATCCCGGGTGTCCTCACCGGGACGCAAACCGGCGACCTTCTGTGAGGCGATGGTGCAAACCACTGCTCCACCTTGCAACCCATTGGCAAAACAACTAATTGACTAATCATGGAAATAATCAACAATAAAAACAAGCATTAGTTGTCGTCCCAGGTGATAAATTAAAACAGTTTTGTCGATGAAACAGAAATAAAACTCCAGAAGTCACACCAGACAAAGACTCGAGGCTGGACGTTGAGACTGTCTGGACTCAGATCAGTGATGGTTTATCAGAGCAGCAGCTGATCGCTGTTCTGCTGATCAATGAGAACTTAAAGTTGTGTTTTACTGGTGGAAGCATGAGGCTGCAATAATCCTGGTTTGCATGTGACAGCAGAACTGTCAGTTCCTGTCTGGAACATAAGGACGTTCAGTTAAAACACAGGAAATTATAAAAAATACTAAACACGATAACGTGAACTTTAATCCCTGTGCTTCATCTTTAAGATAAAATCAACCGGATCTAATAAAAACGTCCCACCTGACCTCCTCAGAACCAGCCCAGTCTTTATCTACTTCACTGCATTTAATGAAGTCGTGCTGCAGAGTTTCACCTTCACGCTGTGAATACTTTCAGTTTCAGGCCCTTGAGGTGCACAGAGGAGGACCAACATGGTGCACTGCTGCTTATTGTTCCATCAGTTCTGAGCCTCAGAACTTCATCAGCTCAGCAGATGAAGACGTGACTTATTTAAAATCAGCAACTAAACAAATTTCAGGTGTCGCAGTCTGAATCAGATTTTAGATTCTTCTTTGACAAGCAGCTGCTAGCATCAATATTATGGGATATATCACAGCTTAATGTCTGGGATAAAGGAATCATTACTGGACGAGTAGTTTGTTTTGTGGCGACTAATCACAGAAAACTTTAAATCAAAGGTCTCGTTCCTACAGATTTATAGCAGGAAGGTCACAGCTTTATAAAATATTTGTGTTTGGACAACGAGTGGAAATCTATATTTGGCAGCAAATTAAGTTTATTCTAAGCAATGGCTCTATAATAATAAAAAAATAAAGAGATAAAAGACAAATGAACAGACTAAGAAGCAGCTCCACATTCATAAAAGTGAAGAAAATATTATGAAGTGGTAAAAAATTTTTTTTTTTTTTAAGTGCATTTTGGCAAAATGTTCGAGGCTCACATCAGCATGTTTGAGAGACGGTTGGTCGGAACAAGTTAAAGCAAATTAAAGTTGTTTTTCTTTTACAGATTTACAATAAGAAAGTCAAATTGTTCATGAACTGACTGCTCTGGTGTCATCTCACTACGTCCAAATCGAAGAAAGTCATCTTCAAATTGACTTAAAGAAGCAAAACTCCAGAAAACATGAAATAAACAAAGTGAAATATAGAAAAACAATATCTGTGTGTCACCAACAATCATCCACAATATGCATCCAAAGCCCCGTTTATCATGACAGAGCAGGAGGAATTAATCTGAGCACAAAATTCTCTCTTTCTTGGTCTTTTTAAATCGTTCTGCCTTCTGGTGACTCGTCCTGTAACCGATCCGTCTCACCTGCAGCTTCTTTCCTGGAAACTTTTATTATTATCGTCAACAGGAAACTAAAACTACGAGAGTTTTGGAGGTTTTCTTGATTCTTGGTTGTTAAAGTCACTCAGGAGGGATTTCAGCAGAAACATAAACATCTGGCTGTAAAATAAACACCAACAAACTTTACTTTTACTTTGCTATCAGGTTTTATTAGTTAATCATTTACCTTTAAATTGTTGTGATTGCATTTTGCTTTATCACTGCTGAGCTCCAGTGTCTCTGGAAGAAACTTTGGCTTTTAGTTATTTATGAGGCTCTTCCTGGTTGTTCTCCTCTTACGTCACCTCATTAAATCTCAGCAAACGCTGAAATGACAGGATTGGTCTGCAGGTGCTGCTTTTAAAATCCAGTTTGGTTCGACTGGAACAACCTGCAGAACAAACTGAAGCAGGTTTATTCTTTAAGGCGATTCAGGTTTTTTATTTTATCTCGTTTTACTTCCAGCTGCTCTTGTTGCTTTATTTGCATTTAAAACTTAAAAGATCTAATAAATACTTTAACTAAGTTTGTTTTATTTGTGCTACTTTCTTCAACAAATGAGGCCTTATATATATAAATGCAGAACTCCGTACAACAGTGTCTGAGAAAACAGCGCCATAAATAAAAGTAGTGAAGAAACACCAGAGGATGGATCAGTCAAAGTTCACAAAGGAAAAGATAAAAGACCAATAAAATAGACTAAAAGTTGGTTGAAATTGATTAAAGCAAAAAAACTTAAGGAATTACTAAAGTGTAAAAGTGGTTAAAGATCAATTAAACAAATTAAAACGTGGATCACAGGTCAAATAAATAAAAAGGAAATAATACAAAACAAAGAAAAATCAAACTGAAAAATTGTTCAAAATTTTAAAAAAAAGCAAAGTGAGACAATAATAATAGTAAAAAAAAAATAGCTAAATGATAAAACATAAAACCAAAGAGGAATTCAAAATTCATCAACATAAAATTATAAAAGTAATAATGGATAAATAAAACTGACAAAACTTGTAAAAGCAAATATAAAAAAAAACAAAAACAGTGAAGTGATGAACAAAACAGACTAAAGTCAAAATGCATAAATGCAAAAAATAAGAAAATAATTTAAAAAAGAAAATAAAAGGATAAACGTAAAATAGTACTGACAAAAATAAAACAGGTCGAAATTAATAAAAGGAAGTGGTAAAAAATAAAATAAAATAGATGAAAGAGGAATCAAGATTCATCAATATAATATTAAAAAGAAAAGTAATAATGGATAAATAAAATTGATAAAACTTATTTTAATTTAAAATAAAACGCAAAAAATAATAAAATAATTTAGAAAAAAAAATAAACTGATAAAAGTAAAATAATACTGAGAAAAAATATGTCAAAATTCATAAAAAGCAAATTATAAAACGTGGAAAAGTAAAGTGATAAAAAATAAAATAGACTAAAAAGTAGGTGAAACTTCATTTGAGCAAAAACAAAAATAAAAGCAGTAAAAAAAAGACAAAAATATAGAAATAAATGGAGAAATAATTAAACTGAAGCAACTTTAAATGTAGTAAATAAAAATAAATAAAATCAATCAAACGCCAGACTAAAAAAAAAAGTTGGTCTTCAGCTTGATTTAAAAAGAAAATAATAATAAGAACAATTTTAAAGCCACTCTGAGCTGCTCGACTTTAAACCTCATTAAATAAACTAAAGTTATTTCTCACATAAACTCTGAGGCTCCGTTTTAAAGACTTGAAAACTTTCCAGCTCTTCGTGAAACAATCAGAACCAACACATGGAGTCCAGAACGCTCCGGTCCCGGCAGACAGGAAGCGGCCGGACCTGGACTCACCTGAGCGCAGGAAGGACAACATGTCAGCGCCGCTCAGGCCTCCTCATTCCGGGAACACTTGGTCCGTTCGTCCCGGTGGTTCCAGCTCAGTCACCGGAGGAGCAGGACTGGACATCACCGACGGCGGCTGTCGGTTCTGAGACAGGTGGGGAGCAGCAGGAGGAGGAGACAGCGCGAGGACACGGACAGGCAGACAGGTGGGTCCATTGTTTGTGCCGCGGACACCACGTGACCTGCTGCTGCTGCTGCACGCGGCCAAAGCGGCTGAGCTCACGAGGTTTAAAAAAAAGTTTTAAACATGAAGCGAACAAAGATGATTGTTCTATAAAAGTAAGTTTTCAACCGGAAACACACTTTATATGTTTATTCTGCAGCGTTAAAGTCAAATTAGCGGCTTTGAAGTCTTTCAAAATAAAAGTCTCAGCTGTTTCCTCTGCAATTTTCAAAATAAACTCCACCTATTACCGTCATCATTGTTTAAAGTAAATCTAATAAATATGATAACTTGGAGATTGGCTGGT